GTGTGTGTGTGTGTGTGCAGAAATTTTTCAACACCCAAACATTTTGTCTTGAAAAAATATATATAAGTGTGTGTTAGCCTTAGCGTCCATCCTCAATGCTTTACCACTCCCGCAGGTGTGGGCTGACTTTATTGCCTCGCGCCCCAAAATGGGGAATTGCCGAAAGGGTTTTGACTAGCTTGATTCGTGTACATCTTCAACGTTTAAAGTGTGTAGTAGTGAGTTAACTGAGAAGTGTTCCGCTTAACAATAGCAGTATATTCATGTCGTGAACAAGCAAAAATGTTTTTTTTTTTTTACACCCGGATGCGGGAATGGTAATGGACGCGAGGCTGCTCGATTTTATCAGATTGCCTTTCCAGACCGAAGGCAGCCGACTCATCCAACCTTTGCTGCTGTTCATCGTCGCGTTGCTGTGTGTGTGTGCGTGCGTGCGTGTATGTGTGTGGATCTTGTGGAAAAGACGTTTGGTAGAAGTTTCTTTTTACCTTTAGAGCGCGTAGGAATTGAGGTTCTTTTGACTCGGAGGATCTAGCATGTGACATTCTAACGATAAAGGTCTGAACATGTAGTGATGTTCTTCAAATGGTCAATCTTAAGACCGAATAGGCTCTATGGCAACCCAATTCAACGTTGAACCGCCTTAAATCGCTTCTTTGTTCTACAGATTTTCAATCGCCATCATCCGCAGTTACGGTCGTAACATTTTTCTTCAACTGCCTAATTAGGATAAATTCGCTTGCTATCGTTAAAATGTAATGCACTAAATTATTACCTATTTAAAAAAAATGATTATTCTGCAACTTACATACACATGAACAGAAAGAAATACATTTATATGCTTTAATGCAAATTTCTGCATTGATGCAAGTATCCCCTCGGGTCTGTATCCTTGGACTAATGGTGTTCCTAATTTCCATCAACAACCTTTCATATGTCATCAATTCTAAATTCGCTATCTATGCTGATGACAGAACCATTTATTCCTCCCTTAACAGTCAATATGGTCAAATTAGTAGCTTATCTCAAAATGACCTACAATCTGCTGTTAATTAGGGCAAGGAATGGATGATTGATTTTAATGTCTCCAAAACGAAACTGCTTTTCTTAGCAGCAGACCTAGCGATGAATCCATCGCTAGGTCTGCTTCTAGGAAATTTCTTCTCTCTGCCGTGTTAGACATTTTTCTGTAGATTCTATCTTACTTATATTCATCCTTGCTTTGAATATTACTGCCACATATGCTCTGGTTCTCCTGCTATATATTTACAGATTCGTGATGAACTCCAAAGAAGAATCTGCAATATTATTGGTCCTGACCTGACATCTCGGCCTCTCTTACTTTCCTATCACTGTAATGTAACTTCCCTCTGTTTTTTTTCTATAAATACTTTAATGGTAATTGCTCTGATGAATTGTTCTGAATTCTATAGTACCTAGAATGTATGAATTTAAGCACAGTACTAGATTGGTAGCAATGGTTAGATGTAACCGTAAATTCTATGCTGAACAGTTTTTCTTTTCTTGCACTTTTCGTTTATTGAACTCTTTTCCGGTTTCTTGCTTCCCAGTCAAATTTAATCTTCAAAAGTTTTAATACAATTTCAATCGTTATATCCAGTCTTCTTAATTCTTGTTCTTCTATTATTCTCCATCCTTAATAGCAATTAACCCCTTGCGGCCTAGTTGCTTTAAATACCTTACATGGGGTGAAATAATTTTTTTTAAAATAGTTGGCTTGTAAAATCCCCAGAACAATCCGGTATATCTGTAGTTTGGTTGATTTTACACTCCACTACCATTCATTATGCTGCATGAACAGGAAATAAAGAAAATAAACAAATGTTTATATAAATACAAAGATTTGTCATCATTTGAACCCCCCCCCAGTGCCTTACTAATTAGGTCAGAGCGTATTCCCTCAATATCGTCAATACCTCTTACCCACAATATGCCCTTGGTGGAGGGGGGTAAGTTTTCCAAGACCTCCTTCCTCATTATGTGTCCATGAAATTTTAGCTGATTCTTCTTGATTCTGAGTATAAGTGTTCTTTCTGTTGCCATTTTCTTTAAGACTTCCACCTTGCTTACCCGAGCCGTCTATATAGTTCTCAGCATCCTTCTGTTGAACCAAATTTCTGTTGTTTCAAATCGTATCTCTATCTGTGAAGAAATTGTCCAGCATTAATTGCCATATAAGAGGATGGATATCACGTAGTAATTCAGCGTTCTTTGTTCCTAATGATTTTGTTTCTATTTCCGGACATTTTGCTTAGCTTTTGGAAGGCATCTTTCGCTAATCCATCCTAATATTTTTCTTGTGTGAATATCATTGTTGAACATGTAGGTTTTAATTTCTGTCTGAATTTCTGGGATGACGTGTTATTATTTACATTATTTACACCGTGACTAATATCTTCATCTTTGATGTTCTTATTCCTACGTTTCAGCCGTTGTATTCACCAGCATTCTACAGTTACCTATCGCTCCGAGTGACGCTTTCGAAATTTCGGACATAAATCTATCTTGAAGCTACAGGCGTATATTGTTCTTGTTCTGCTCTCCACGTCTTATGCATTTCCAATATTACACCCCAATTGAACTGACAATTACTATGCCAGCAGCTCTAAAATCATTCTTTTTAATCCTCTAGACTGTTCTTTGCCTTTCACTGCGAAAAAAGAATGTGCGAAAATTAGAGAGTGAATTACCAAGAAATTCACTCACAACGCTAAATATGGTGATATGCAAATGAGAAGATTTTTAGCGGAGATACAATGCGTTAGAGCACCTGGAGGATGGATTCATGCCTTGGCTAAATTTAAAGATGCAGATTTCGAATTCATTTTGCCGGTTCTATTTTTCTAGATGAAATTTTATGGATGATATAAAGAATGGTAGCTTGGATAATTTGACACATACAAGTTATATTGTAGGCGAGAGCAGAAAAAAGTAATTTGTTTAATCAGCTTCTATGAATGAATAGCAGAAAAGTGAATGGGAGCGACAGTAATGGTAATATTAAACGTTTCCCTATAAGGAAACATTCGGCATTCACTGATCGATCAGCCAGTACTGCTGTCGGTTGAAATTTATAAACTCATTCTCTTAAAACAATTTTCCAGGTTTCTGAAAGAATGCGAACATTTTGATTATGTCATTATTTTCTCTCCGAGTTGGCAATGCTTTAACAATCCTGATGAGAGGGTCATGCTCTGAAAGAGGGACCCTTGCCTTGAACGTCTACAGAGTCTAAAGCTCGCTCCCGAATTCAGGTAGAACACATACATTCGTTTTATTAAATATTTATTGTTGATTTAATAAGAGCTTAAGAAAAATTAATAAGAATAAATAAATGTGTTATGGTCCGGTTCCTTGTACCACGGTGATAGTCCAAGGTAGAACCAAGAACTCGAACACAGGTATGGAATAGCACAGAGATATTACAAACAGGAATATATACAGAGAAGTAGATGTGTTAGTATGAACAATCAGGTTTAGTAGAGAGAACAATGTAGTCTCGACCAGTATCACTATTCCAATGTCTTGTAGTAATCGTCTGAACGCGACTCTGTTTCGGACTACCTCTGACTCGACTCTTGACTCAACTTGAACTACTGACTCACTCGAACGATTGACTGACGATATTCAGTCACCCCCCCACGAGGACATCATGTGGCACAAGGCCGGTTTAACGTGGGATCTCCGAGCCCGTGGGCTCGGCCCCAAAATATGCCCATTGAACCCGTATAAATGGGTTCAGGGTCGGTTTACTCCCCGAACGAGACTCCGCCCTTCAGCGTAGCCTGGTTCGGGTTCCTCCCCGCCTGAAGGCAGAGAGTTCAACCGAACAGCCGGTCGAGACGCGAACGACCGACGATATTCAGTCACTGCGGCACAAAGGCCTTTTAACGTGGGGTGTCATTAGGGCAAAAAAGGCCGTTTTAACGTGGGCATTTCCGAGCCATTCCCGCCCGTAGGAAGAGAGGCGAACAGCGCTCAGAAATTGAACGACCCATTTGAACCCGTATAAACGGGTTCAGGGCCGGTTTACCTCCCAGAAGGAAACCCCGCCCTTCGGCGTAGCCTCCTTCGGGTTCCTCCCGCCCGTAGGAAGAGAGTTGAACCGAACAGTCGCTCAGAAATTGAACGACCGACAATATTCAGTCACCCCCCCCCCCCACGACGTGGGGTGTCATGCGGCACAAGGCCTTTTAACGTGGGCATTCCCGAAAGCCATTAGGGGCCCGGCAAAAAATAGCCCATTTGAACCCGCATAAACGGGTTCAAGGCCGGTTTAACCTCCCCGAAGGAGACTCCGCCCTTCGGCGTAGCCTCCTTCGGGTTCCTCTCGCCCGTAGGAAGAGAGTTGAACCGAACAGTCGCTCAGAAATTGAACGACCGACTCCTTGCCTACTCCTGAGGCGCAGTATTTATTAAGTATGGAATAGTCCATTATTATTATTATGGGTGAGATCCCATAACAAAATGAAAGATTTAACAATGCCCTTCTTTTGTTTGCTTTTTTGTTTTGTTTTTTAAGATTAAGATATTTTTTTATAGATTAGCTGTGTAAAAATAAGGCTATATTGAAATTTTACTTTGAAAATATCAAAAAGTTGATGATCCCAATGCTCTTTTTATGTTCCTTACATCCTGAAGATTTTCATCAAGGCCCACAGGCATCATTCGTTCAAAACACCTGTTCCCAGTTTATTACAGAAGTTAAGCAAGTCGGGCATGCATACTAATGCCGGAGAATAGGAACACGTGATATCTACCTAGCCAATGAAATACAAATAGCATATCGAAAAATCTCTAAGTTTTTTTCATTGCCAATAATTTCTGATGAAGTTAAAATCAAAATAGCGAAACGTGTTAAATTTCTAATGGTTTTCTTGTTCCTCATTCCATCATTAGTTCGAATGTAAATAGTGTATATGAAAGCCTTTTTATGTTTTAAACTACAACGTACAGGAAATACCAAAAATAACCCTTAAGGCCACATCGGGTTGAAACACTGGTTCCCGTACGATCACCGAAGTTAACCAATATCGTTCTTGGTCGGTACCGAGAAGGATGACCGCTTGGGAATGCCAGGTGCTATAAGTTTGGATGTACGCCTAATGTAATCAATAATGGCTTCAAATTCTTAATCGTTTCGTTTGTTTGGTTTGTTTTGTTTTACGGTATATCAACCTCAATGTGTTATTTAATGCCGACAAAATTTTTATTTTGTTTTGTCAAAAATCTATTTCTGGTAATATTTTTTTTTCCTTCAAAAATCTATTTCTGGTAATATTTTTCCTTCAAAAGTGTATTGCTGCTAATATTTTTTTCCAGAAAGTATTGCTGGTAATATTTTTTCCTCAAAATTTATAGCTTGTAATATTTTTTTTCAAAAATCTATTGCTAGTAATAGTTTTTTTTTTTTTTTTTTTTTTCAAAAATGTATTGCTGGTAATAATTTTTTACAGAGTATTTCTCGTATTAAAACATCTTTTTCACTTTCATAGTGTTTTTACCCCAGTTCCGGGATTAACTATTTGCCCATAACTGGGACCCTAACAGGTGCTACTACCCCGGATCAGGGTCGACCTGGGAACACCAGCAGTTAAGAGGTGGTTCCACGCTCCTCAAAACTTCCTGATCAGGGCCCTTGCTGCTGGACGTAGTTTATCGTCTTACCCAGGACGCGGATGAAGTTTATCGTCATACTCAGGACAGAATTGTTAATCGGGGAGTCGAGTTCCAATTGCAGTTGGATTTGTTATATTGACTTACGCGCAAATATTCTTTGGAAAGGAATGAATCCATCTCTTCTCAACTTCAGCTATGTGTTAATTAGTAAGTTTTATATCATTAAATCATTATTATCTCAGAAGATATTTCAATCTAAAATTATTTTCTGGCTTTAAAAAGCCGGCAAAGTTTTATAAACCATATAAAATAAATCAATCAGTTGAATTAATCAAATCCATGCATGACCATTGATCTTAGAAAGTTGGTGCATACATCCGACAATTTATATATGCCTGAACTAGCCAGGTGTCATACATGACATTCATATGAACGTCTCGATCTGACGAGACTATTTAAGAAAATGTCTCGGGTTTCCAGGCTAATGTTTTGGTTTTGTAGCAATTGGTGGTGTTGAGCGAAACTACCTCTACCGCTGCCTATTCTATATTCAATTTCCTTTTCTTCTATATTAAATTGGTTTTAACCGATCCATACGCTGAGGTATTTGAAGTGATTTAGCAAAGGGGACAATTATTACTTAGAACTACAAAGTATGATAAATCGTCGAAAGCCACCAACTAAGACGAGAATGCAGCACAAAAAAGAAGATCTAAGCTGTCTCTCGAAACTGACATTATTTGCTATTTTAAAAAGTTTATTTTCTAAAAGAAATCGATCAGATCGATACGAACAATAGTAGATTTAAATGTACATAAACTCATATCATACCACGTTTACAGAACAAATATCTAGGTGTGCCTGGTTTTTATAAACACTTATATTTTTCTTGATTTATTTTCTTCCTTATATAATTTAGTGTAGTTTTTTTTTTTTTTTAATTTATTTTCCTCTCAATATAGTCATTGATAACCGGAGAAGTTTTACAGCATTTTCTATTGTTTCCTCGCGTTTTAAAAGACTTCACTTATTTGCCATGCTTTAATTTCACGAATTATTTTCTCGTGATGTTGCATCGTTTGTTCTTACTTAACAAACTGCCTACCTCTTACGTCATACGTCAGGTTTCTGTACACTTTCCCTTTCCTGGTCTTTAATTTCAAAGAGCCTTAAGAGATTTTATGTAGATGTTTAGACGTGTGCTTCAATTTGTTTAGTTTTTAGAAAAGTTTACCAGTAAAACTCAGCCTGTGAATTGATATTTTGAGAATGTATTTGATTGATTTTCATCTTCGAACGAGTGGGCGGTTAATTTACAATAGCTATTCTCACAGATAACAACACAAGATACGCAGATGGCACTGTGTTGTGGCAGACACAGAAAGAAAAACTGAAGGAATGCCTAGACAATGCAGTAAAGGAAAGTGAGAAGAAAGGACTAAACATCAATTATAAAAATACAGAATAATAATGTCGTTAGTAAGAGAGACATTTCAAAATGCGACATACAAATTGAGGATATCAGAATGAATCGCGTACAAAAACATAATTAAATCGTAAATTTTATAACTGAGATAGAAAATGTGACACTGTAACCAGAAACCGTGTTGGCATAGTGAAAGATACCCTACAGAACAATGTTTCTCAACCGGTATTCCTCGGAATCTGAGGTTTCTGCTAGAGATCGCTAGTTCTGCGAAAAACTGCTAAATAAGCTAATACATTTTTGAGTATTTTTGTTAAATACTACATAGAGAATTACGGTGGAGTAATGGTTAGCGGCTCGAATTGAGGAATCGGAGAGTCGAGTTCGAATTCCAATGGAATCAGTTACATTCACTTACGTACTAATACCCTTGGGAAATGTATGAATCTTCTTCCCCCCCCCCCAAGCTATGGGTAAATAGCAGGACAGACCGGGTTCTATAGTCTTGGATGGTTTACCGCAGAAAGAAATGACAACCTACTGTGGGGGGAAAAATCTGCCTTGTCAGTCATGTATCGAAATGATTGCCTAAGCGTGTATCACGTATGGCAAATAAATGACTGACTATACATTTACATTTATTGCTGGAAAATCCTTGGCTATTATAATATTATTGCCTATGTGTTCAGATTATTTTTGTGATTGAAAACCTCATAAACGAGCAATATGGTTTTGTTTTTTGGGGTATTTTTGTTTTTCGTTTTTTAGGTTTTTTTTTTCACTGCCTATGTGTTATACCAGAACATTACCTATTCTATTGTAATAGACTCTCCCACAGATAATAAGTAGTAGTAGCAGTGGCCAGTTGGGCTCAGTGGAGTTGAGTGAGTCAGTCAATGTCGGACATTGAAGTATCAACCATCACAACTAGGTTGCTGCGTCATTAATTATTATTGCAAGTTCCTAACGTTTTGTACGTCGGACCCTTTTTAGGTCCGACTTATTGAAATACAAGCTTCCACTGTAAAAACTACTCTACAACACTATGTATTTTACAAAAATGAGGTCATGTTTTCCCTTAAACCAGTTATCCGTAAAATATATGTTTAATATGTGAAGTACGATTATATTATAAAAGAGATAGATATTAATAATAGTATATAGTAATTGTAATGCATGAATTTCCTGAGACATTAAAACTATTTAAAGGGTGGCACAAGGATAAAAAGATTGAGAAACGCTGCCCCAGAAACTAAACTGAGTATAAAGAAACGGAAAAAATTCGTTAGAAACAAAGAGAAAAATGCTGAACTGCTAAATACAATTATTCCTATATGGAACCGAATAATGTCCTCACTGATGAAGAGAAAATTGAGACAAAAGAAAGACGTTGACATTATTTACATTGTTGTCTCCATCTGTATTGCCATATTCATCACGTTTCGGCAGTTGTACGCTCCGGCTTTCCTCAGGTGATTGGAACTTCGACTGAACCCTTTATTTTGTTCACCGGCGTAGATTCTTCTAGTTCTAGTTCCACGTGCCACGCCTCTTCCGGATCTCTTCGTTATCCCCCTTTAACTCAAATCTCCATATTTTTTTTTATTTTTTTTTATTTTTATTTTTGTTCACAACTGCAGTAGCCAGGTATTGACCTCACAACTCTTCGGGTCAAGTCACTGGATCCAACCAACGCTTTGGATTCCAGTGGATAAAAACAACGGCCTAAACGTCGTGAATATGGCAATAAAGTTGAAGTCAACAGTCCGACTAATGTAAATAATTAAAATGCCTCATCTCAGAAATATAAACAAGTAACAGAGAATTGGTTCTATAGAAGGATGCTGTGTATACTACAAACCGTAGATCTGAATCATGAGAAACATTTAAATAAAATGGAAACAAAATGGACGCTTACGATCAGAATCAGAAACAGCTAACATTGTTGGGACACGTAACGAGGAAAGAGAGCTTGGAGAATTTGACACTCACTGGTTATAAGAAGGAAAAAGAGGCAGAGTGACACATCAAGTAACTTACCTAATGAACTTATGTAAACGGATGACAGAATATAGACCGTGAGTAAGAGTAATAGGACTGACATTACCTACAGCAACAAAGGGTAGGATGATGTGGAGAGCCATGGCCGCCTAGATTCTGAAGAATAAGAAGATTCTGATTATTTTAACAGGTGTTAGGTGATAACCGCTGCTGAAATTAATGTTTCTCCAATCCATAATACAACTATAGAAAAGGATGTAAAATTTGATAATGTTTATCTAATCTATAATAGAGCTATCCAAAAGGATATAAAATTGAATTATCCAAGACAGTTTAAACTAGCCAAGGATCTTCTTAACAGCTTCGAATGTCCAAGTGGAAATTATCTGGTTATTGCGTAATAGGAGATCTACGCAATCTAAATTTTATATATTCTCATTAAGAAAATTAAAATTACGGCGAATAATGAATTCTTTTATTTCTCGATTATAAAACACCGGCATCAGTACATATAAATTCGCCCATCTCTATATAATGGATTCTTCCGGTGGCAAATATTGCAAATACTACAAAGACAAATTTCTATTACAAATATTGTGCTAAGGGAATTAAATTGAATTTAGGTTTGGATTTAAATAAACATTTAAATATATCTTTAATTTTCTATCAAGGCAACAACGCAAATAACCAATTATTTATACAATTTTACTTTTATTTTAAACTAGCTTAAACGCTGACCTATCGTACGGCATTTAAGCTAAAACCTACGGAAGGCGCTTGATTGGGCTTCATCAAAATAAGTAGGGAGGAGTAAATGCGATAGGCAACAATAAAAAAAAAGAAAGAAATGAAAAAGAAAGAAGAAAACTCAATCAATACGAGTAAGGGAGATAGCAGCCGTTTTAAGAGAAAAGTTTGATATGAGAAATCAGAGAAGCGAGTTCGAATTCGCTGTATCCATTTATGCGAAAATATCTATTGAGAAAAATATTTATCTCTACTCTTCGTCTTCCCCTACCTATGACAGTCTATTAGGGTAGA